AACTAACTAGCCCTATACAAAAACTGAAACTGGACCCCTTTGTTACACCATATACAAACATTAACTCAAGATGGATTAAAGGCTAACAGGTAAAACCCAAAACTATAAAAACCCTAGAAGTAAGTCTAGGCAATACCATTCAGGACATAGGCACAGGCAAAGATTTCATGACAAAAACACCAACAGCAATTGCAACAAAAACAAAAACTGACTGATGAGATCTAATTAAACTAAACAGCTTCTGCACAGTAAAAGAAAGTATCATCAGAGTGAACATACACCCCATAGAATGGGAGAAAATTTGTGCAATCTATCCTTCTGACAGAGGTGTAATATCCAGAGTCTACAAAGAACTTAAACAAATTTACAAGAAAAAAGCAACCTCATTAAAAAGTGGGCAAAGGTCACGAACAGACACTTCTTAAAAGAAGGCAATCATGCAGCCAACAAACCTAAAAAAAGCTCAACATCACTGATCATTAGAGAATGCAAATAAAAACCGCAATGAGAAACTATCTCCTGCCAGTCAGAATGGCTATTATTCAAAAGTCAAAAAACAACAGATGCTGGAGAGTTGCAGAGAAAAAGGAATATTTTTACACTGTCGGTGGGAGTATAAATTAGTTCAACAGTTGTGGAAGACAGCATGGCAATTCCTGATAGACCTGGAGGCAGAAATACCATTTGACTCAGTAATCCTATTACTGGGTATAAACCCAAAAGAACATAAATCATTCTATTATAAAGATACATGCACTTGTATGTTCACTGCAGCACTATTCACAATAGCAAAGACATGGAATCAACCTAAACGTCCATCAGTGATAGACTGGGTAAAGAAAATGTGGTACATATACACCATGGAATACTATGCAGCCATAAAAAGGAGTGAGATCATTTCCTTTGCAGGGACATGGATGGAGTTGGTTGGAAGCCATTATCCTCAGCAAACTAATGCAGGGACAGAAAACCAAACACCACATGTTCTCACTTATATGTGGGAGCTGAACAATATGGACACAAGGAGGGGAACACCACACACTGGGGCCTGTCGGAGAGTGGGGTTTGGGGAGAGGGAGAGCATCAGGAAGAATAGCTCATGGATGCTGGGCTTAAAACCTAGGTAACGGGATGATCTGTGCAGCAAACCATCATGGCACACATTTACCTGTGTAACAAACCTGCACATCCTGCTCCTGTACCCCTGAACTTAAAAGTTAAAGGAAAAGGCCGAGCATGGTGGCTCACACCTGTAATCCAGCACTTTGGGAGGCCAAAGCAGGTGGATCACAAGGTCAGGAGTTCAAGATAAGCCTGACCAACATAGTGAAACCTCATTTCTACTAAAAATAAAAAAATTAGCCAGACATGGTGGCACATGCCTATAGTCCCAGCTACTTGGAAGGCTGAGACAGGAGAATCTCTTGAACCCAGGTGGCAGAGGTTGTGGTGAGCTGAGATCGCACCACTGCACTCCAGCCTGGGCGACAGAGTGAGACTCCATCTCAAAAATTAAAAAGTTAAAGGAGAAAGAAATAAATAAGCCAGGCATGATGGTGGGTACCTATGATTTGAGAGGCTGAGATGGGAGGTTTGCTTAAGCCCAGAAGGTGGAGGCTGCAGTGAGCTGTGATGGTGCCACTTCACTCTAGCCTGAGCAACAGAGTGAGTGAGACCCTGCCTAAAAATAAAAAATTAAAAAATAATCAGATACAGGAAAACTCTCAACCCTCCCTCCATTGGCCTAAAAGCAGAACATAGATTTACAAAGACAAAAGGCATCGTGACCCTCTTCTACCAGGAAGAACAAAGGTTAACTGTTGGAGACAACTGTAGATGCCCACCATCTAGAGGAGACAGCAGAGAGATGGACACTCACCAGCTTTACTAACCTTGAGCTGCCAGTTATTACCTTCCCCCAAGTTGCCACCCGGGAAACTCAACGTTATTTTCCTGTGTCTTGTCACTGCTCTAGAAATTGACTGTTCTTTATCGAAGACGTTCTATGAGCTGGAATTCAAAGCAGCTCTTTGAGAACTACTCATTCCCTGGCTGTCTCCCATATGGATATGAAATATCCATGTTAATAAACTTTGGTTTGTTTTCTCTTGTTAATCTGTCTTTTGTAACAGCAGTGCTTTCCAAGAACCTATGAGGGTTGAAGAAAATCTCCTACAAAATATACCAACAGCGATGCTCATAATAAAATAGCATGAGGCCTGCTCTCAGGGAGTGTATTGGCACAAAACCAGTCAGTCAGAAACAGGGGCTGCTTTGTGCAGTTCCTAGACAAAGAGTCACCGAAAAGGAGTGCTCCCAGGGCCTGGGTGCGCAGGAGTGCTCCCAGAGGATGGGGAGCTTTTTCTGGGAGCCTTGGAGGATAAGCAGGGTTTGGAGAAGTTGTGGTGCCCAGGGGCATTCTATGCAGGGAGACATTATGAGGAAAAGGGCAAAGACCAGAAGGAACTTGACGTGGTGGGAGTGGGGTAGGGAGATGGACATGAGTGGCCTGGATGGGAGACTGTCTGTTTAGCAGAAAGGGAAATGATGAGGTTGGGTGGACCAGATGGCATGGGTCATAAATAGGAGGCCCAGGAGAGACAACTGTGAGCTTCTTACCACACCCAGGCCAAAGGTAATGCAGGCCATTCAGTAAGTAGTTAACATCTTTCTGGATGGATGAATGGATGGAGGGATGGATGGATGGATGGTTGGATGGGTAGATGGATGGAGGGATGGATGGATGGAAGGAAGGATGGATGGAAGGAAGGAAGGATGGATGGATGGAAGGAATGAAGGATGGATGTATGGAAGGAATGAAGGATGGATGGATAGAAGGAATGAAGGATGGATGGAAGGAAGGAGGGATGGATAGATAGAAGGATGGATGGATGGATGGATGGATGGACGGATGGATGGATGGCTGGATGGAAGGAATGAAGGATGGATGGATAGAAGGAATGAAGGATGGATGGAAGGAAGGAGGGATGGATAGATAGAAGGATGGATGGATGGATGGATGGACGGATGGACGGATGGCTGGATGGAAGGAATGAAGGATGGATAGATGGATGGAAGGAATGAAGGATGCATGGATAGAAGGAATGAAGGATGGATGGAAGGAAGGAGGGATGGATGGATAGAAGGATGGATGGACGGATGGATGGATGGAAGGACAGATCTATTCATATATGAATACATAAATAGTACGTGGTGGGAAAAGTGAGTGTGGTAACAGGGGCTGTAGGCTGGGAACTTGGAGTCTAAAGCTCAGGTCCCTACCCTGCCACTAACCAACCACCAGAGGGACACCTCTGGGCCTCAGTTTCCTCATCTGTAAAGCCCTGGTGATTCTTGAGAGTTTATCACACTTCTTTGTAGAAGAAGCAGGGGCTCAGGCAAAAAAGTCTACTCTAATAAGCAGCCCCAGGGGAAGCTGGCAGCAGGGACCCTGCCCTCCTGCTAAGAAAACCACCACTGGGGAGAAGAGGAGGAGAGCCCAGACCTGACTCTGAACGTACCTGTTGTCACTTCCCCTCCCTGGTCCACAGTTCCAGCAGATTCACTCCAGCATTTCAGGGTTCTATGAGACTTGTCTGAGGGGCCTGATTTATAGGAGAGAGGAGCCCAGCCTCACCCCTCCCTTACCCCACTTAGGATGTTAAAGCAACTTGGGAAAAGCATTTATTCTCAACTCCTGGAATTACCCTTCACTTTCCTGGCAGATAAATGGGGCAAAACCGAAGACGCAGTTGCATTTAAATGGAGTGAGGCAGGTGGAAGTTTATAAGATTTGAATATGCTTTTTGGCTGCTTTTGAATATTCATTTGCCCAAGGGAGAATTGGACAGCCAGAATCTGTGGGTCTAAAGGAGGTTATTTAAGGTTGGGGGTAAGGGTTGGCAGGAATCCCTGTTCATCAGACTCTAGGGAGCTAATTGCGATTCTTCACCAGCTAAAATGTCACAGGCTCAGGGTAAATTCTGGGAGTTGATACACCTCATGGTTACTGTTGCCATAGCAACTGCCTCCCTGTAACTGTGTGTACCAGCAGATCACAGCTGACAAGACAAGCCCAAGGAGGTGAATAATGGGGAGCCAGCCCAGGACTCCAGCAGGCCCCCAAGAGTTCTAAAATATGTCTCAGAAAGCTAGAATACACTCTGGTGTTGTATCCTTGAGAATTCTGAAACAGAACCCAGAGCACTGGAAGAAGCCTGGAATTCCAAAATCTGTCACCAGATTCCAGAATCTTTCCCCAAGGTCCAGAACACACCCCAGATATCCAAAGGCTACCCTCCATTTCTGTCAGTCTCTCCAAGCGTGAACCTCCAAATCCTGAAACATGCCCCTGGAGAGCTAGAGCAGGCCCTTAAATTCTTCTCTCCCTCTTGTATTGATTCTTCCTGGGAACTGGTTTTCTATCTGAACTGCAAGTATGAAGGAGCACTCGGGGCCTGTGTTGGAACACGGCCAGTGGGGGTAACCTGCGGAGTGAGCAGATGAAAGCCTCATCCTGATTCCTTGGAAACACAGAACATCACAGATGTGCCCCAGCACATGCCAGGCCTCAGAGTCAGGGGTAGCTCCACTGGCCCAGGCATCCCTGGTGCAGTTCATGACACTGTGCCTTGTTCTCTGCAGTGAGGATGATTCGTCCCTGACACATCCCTGCTCTCTGCCAAGGCTCCTGTGTGACCATTAGCACATAAATCTAGGGGCCCTTAGGAGGGGGTGAAATTGGAGGACCTCCTGGCCCTTAGCGAAAGCTCCTCTCTCTCTCTTTTGAAACAGAGTTTTGCTCTTGTTGCCCAAAATGGAGTGCAATGGCATGACCTTGGCTTACTGCAACCTCCACCTCCCGGGTTCAAGCAGTTCTCCTGCCTCAGCCTCCCAAATAGCTGGGATTACAGACATGCACCATCATGTCTGGCTAATTTTTGCACTTTCAGTAGAGACAGGGTTTCTCCATGTCAGTCAGGCTGGTCTCGAACTCAGGTGATCCACCCACCTCGGCCTCCCAAAGTGCTGGGATTACAGGTATGAGCCACCACACCTGGCCTGTGAAAGCTCCTCTTTACCCAGGCAGCCTGAAGTGGGACGTGGCTGAGTTGGGAAGACTCACCCTCCCTGCCTGGGGCTGGGGGAGCTTCCTGTCTGCAAGCCCACCCCTCCCCGACCATCCCTGATGACAGTCACTCAAAACTCCTGAACAAGGACACCGTCCCCCAAGCTGGGTAGGAAACCTCAGTGCTACCTCAGACTCTTTCTCTTCCTTCCCCTCCACATTAATTCGCTGCTCAATCAGCTCCATTCTTCGTTTCTTTCTCGCCTGGATCCCATCCTTGATGCCATCCCCACTGCCTTGATTCAGCCCTCGTTATCACTCAGCCTCCACTCCTGCCCTCTCCACCTCATTGCCCAAATGCAAGACCCTGGTGACTTCACCGCTCTGCCCAAAGCATCAATGCCTGCTCCCATGTGCTGCCCATCAGGCACGTGGTCTCACCTGGGCATCCAAGGCCCCCAGATATCTGGCCTTTTCCAACACTCAATTTCCCCTGACTCCTAATGGTTGTCTGAAATAGCCCCAAATTCCTGCCCTCCCAAAACTTTGCTTCTCCTCTCTTCCTCCTCGAGGGCTCTTTGCACCATCTCTAAATCTCCAAACCAGTTTAAAGGCCACCTACCTCCTCGGAGACTACTGGAATCATTATTGAACTTGCCCTTCTCTGAAACCCTGGAGCTTCCTGGCTGTACCACTGTTTTTAGAATTAGCTATGGGTTGTCAGAGCTGCGAGGAGTCTAAAGTAATGAAGTCCAGTGGTTTTTGTTTTGTTTTATTTTGTATGAGACGAGTTTTGCTCTTGTTGCCCAGCCTAGGATGGAGTGCAGTGGTGTGATCTCAGCTCACGACAACCTCTGCCTCCCAGGTTCAAGCGATTCTGTAATCCCGAGTAGCTGGGATTACAGGCATGTGCCACCACACCCAGCTAATTTTGTATTTTTAGTAGAGACAGGGTTTCTCCAAGTTGGCCAAGCTGGTCTTGAACTCCCAACCTCAGGTGATCCTAATGCCCGGCCTCCCAATAGTGGTTTTGTGGGGTTTTTTTTAAATTTCAATTTTTATTTTAGATTCAAGTTGTACCTGTGTGGGTTTGTTATGAGTATGTTGTGTGATGCTGAGGTTTGGGTATGATTGATCCCATCACCCAGGTAGTGAGCATGGTACCCAAAAGGTAGTTTTTCAATGCAGTGGTTTTCAAACTTGGCTTTGTGACACCCTGGTGGGAGGGGGGCCTTAAAGACTGTAGGAGGAGGGTGATCCTGAGAGGTGGTCCAGCCAGCAGGGTCACAGCCCTCTATACCTGCTCCAACTCAAAGCAGGCTCACCTTGATCTGTCTTAGATGGTCATTCATTCATTCATGCACGCATCTATTCATTAGCTGTTTACTGAGCACCTTTACTGTATCAGCTTCTATCAATAAGAGAGTGAACAAAGAAGCTAAACCTCTAGGCTCATGAAACTTGCAAGCTATTGGGGAAAACAGACAAGAAACATATTAATAAATAATGACGCAAGAAAATCTCAAAAAGTGTTGAGTGCTGAGGACACAATTGGATGGGATAAGAAACAGAATTCGGTGGAGTGCTCAGTTACCATTAGATGGTCTGGCTGGGGAAGCCTCCCTGAAAAAGCACCATCTGAGCTGACCCCTGAATGGCAAGATGAGAGCCAGTGATGCACAGAGAATTCTAGGGAAAGAATAATCATGAAAAAGAAAAGACCAGTGCAGAGGCCCCGAGGCAGAAACAAACCTGTCATCTTTAAAATCACAGAGGGCAGAAAGCAGTGGCAGAGCTGTCCAAGATGAGACTTCTGTAGCCAATATCCACTTAAAGAAATTGGATTTTTCTGAAAAAAAAAAAAAAAAAAAATAGATAGATGTATAGATATAACCCATTGACCTAGTCTAATCATGCCACTTTACAGAAGAAAAACTGTGAACACAGAAGATCCAACACGTCCAAGGATTGCCCAAGGTCCAACTAAAAGCTGGTGGCAGAGCTGGGACCAGTGCCTAGGTCTCAGGATGCTGCCCCAGGCACCATCTGTCACTCCTTTGAGCAGGTCACCCAGGGCAGGCCTCCCTGGCCTTTGCCTTTCCCAGCCACTGGGACAACCACACCCTACCCTGCACATAAGCGAGAAGTGTGAATGAGATAATGTCTCCCAGGCCAGCGGAGCTCCAGGGAGCAAGCAAGAGACAAATAAAAGGCTTTATTGGATTAGTTAAACACGCATCCTGTGGCCAAGGGCCTCCTGGCACCAGACAGCATCACAGAGGGAAAAAAGAAAAGCAGATGATGAAATTAAAAGGCATTTCATTCCCAGAACCAAGGCTGACATGCACAAATCCAGAATGTGTTTCTCCATGGCTTCTCACCCACCTGTCCTCCTGCTTCCCTGGCCTCTATCTGATGCAGCCACTCTGGCTGTGGTCACAGCTCACACCATGGCACAGGGCCTCCCATGTGGCCATCTTGAGGCATCTGACGGAGGAATAAAAGACCCAGAAGGGATTCTGGGGAAAGAGGAAAACATGAGAAGTGCCTGAGAGGTCATGGAGTCCATCCCCCTGTCCCCAGGCATGATCTGAACTTGCTAACTTCTTCCACATATGAGCACAGGCCCCAGCCCAGGAGAGGGAAGCTCAGGCTAAGGCCAGAGAAGGAGCTAGAGGGGTGGACAGGGAGAAGTCAGACAGGCCATGTCCACGGTCCAGCTCTCCCATGGGCCAGCTCTACAATATTGGCAACTCATTGTACCTTCATGAGCCTCAGTTTCCTCTGCTGCAAAAGAAATGCCCATGGTGAGGATGAAATGAGGTGTTTTGGTGTAAAGCTCCTGGCATGTAGAGGGCACCGACAAGTATTGGTTTCAGAGGCATCTGGAGCCCCAGTTTTCCACGTGACCTCCACTGGGGTGGGAGGAGGATCTGTGGTTCTTAACTCCCGCCGACACTCCACCAGACTCACCACCGTTTCCCTAGAGTCTCTGATCAGAGCAAACGATTTGTGTCTAATTACATTAAATTGCATAATATTTTCACTGCATTCCCCAGGAGCATCAGCTGATTTCTCTCTGTTCATTCCTTTGTGCGTGTGTGTGTGCATTTGTGTGCTTGTGTGTGTATGCTTGTGTGTGCTTGTGTGTGTGCTTTTGTGCGTGCATGTATGTGTGTACTTGTGTGTGCTTGAGTGTGTGTGCGCTTGTGTGTGTGTATGTATGTATGTGTGCATGTGTGTGTGTGCATGCACAGAGAAATTTTGTTATGTTCCCAAAGCCAAGGTTACGTTCCTATCTGTGCTGCCCTCGAGAAAGGATCTATGGCAATTGGTAAAAACCCTAAGGAAATGAGATGGTTTGTAGATTTCTTTAGAGAAGATCATGTCATTCACTGCTGGCCCTTTTCAATGGTTTTTCCAACAAACATCTTTTGAGCACTTCATGTGTACAAGGCAATGTATTGATTAAATGTATTTTGTTCACAAAAGTGAACAAAGCAGCCCCACTTCCTTTCCTGCTGGAGCTTACGTGTCAGGACTGTGGGACTAGATAATGAAGAAGACCTGTAATCTGTCAAATGACCCAGTTCAAAGGGTGCTGATAAATGAGCCCGGGCCAGCCTGAGGAGGTCTCTCATGGCATGCCATGGGATTCTGTCTTCGGGATTTCTCATCAAGTGCACAACAGTTGAGGAATCCTGGAGACAAGCAAGTTCAGGGCATTAACCCAAAATGTTACAGGACACCTACTCTGTGCCAGACACTATTCCAGGCACTGGGGACACAGCTGTGAAGAAGACCAAAATCTCTGTCCTCATGGGGTTTACATTCTAGTTAAGGAAGACAGACAGTCAAGAAATAAGTTAAAGAGAGAAAATGTTCAGGGGTTGGTAAGTGCTATGAAAAAAATAAGGGGTGGGGGGCTGGAGAGTACTGGGAGACAGGGGTGGAGATTTTAAAGAAAATGATCAAGGAAGGCTTTGCTGAGAAGATAACATTTCAGCAAAGGCCCAAGGGAGGAGAAACGAACCAAGCAAACCACCTAGATGATATAGAGCATTCTGAACAAAGTGGAAGCATGTGCAAAGGCCCTGGGCGGCAGTGCACCTGGCCTGGAGGCATGTATGTAAACAGCATCTTTTTACATTCAAGTATCTTAGTGGCCTGATTGACCCAAAAGAAATAAACAGAGAGAAATCAGATGCCCTTGGGGAAAGCAGTAAAAATATAATGCAATTTGGTGTAATTAGGCACAAATAGTTTGCTGTGATCAGCCGGTGTGCCTGGGGCAGAGTGATCAAGGGGAGATGGGCAGGAAATGAGGACACAGGGGAGACAAAGAGGGGACTCTTGCAGGAATCCAGGTGGCCAATGAGCGTGCTTTCACCAGGGCAGACATACAGAACAGTGGCTAAACACGGGCCCTACAGCCAGGTTGCTGGGATGAAGATTGACCAGCTATATCAACTTGGACAAGTGACTTTGACTTTTCATTCCTCAGTTTCCGCAACCATGAAATGGACATGGTAAGAGTGTCTTCTTCCCGAGGTGGTTGTCAGGGTTATATGAGCTAAGGCCGATAATAGGATTTGGTACATGTTATATACTTCAATGTTAGAACTTTAACTTGACAGTGGAGAGAATTGGCCAACACCACCTTCATTAATCAAGCAGTCAAGGTTGACATCACTGGTGATGTCGTGTGATACCACGCACCTCCAGTACAATAGGAGACTGTGCTCCACCCCTGTGATGCACTTTCCAACAGCCCATAAGCCCAGTCTAGTCAGGAGAAAACATCAGACAAACCCTAACTGAGGGACACTCTACAACACACCTGGCCCATCCTCCTCAAAACTGTCAAGTTCAGGAAAACCAAGGAAAGACTGAAAAACTGTCACAGACCAGGGGATGCTAAGGAGACATGAAGACTAAATGTGAGGTGGGACCTTGGATTGAATCTTGGAGCAGAAAACATTCGTGGAAAGACTGGAAATATCCAAATAATGGAATTTAGTTAACGGTGAGGTGCCAACGCTGGTTTCTGAGTCTGAACAAATGTACTGTGGTCATGTACGAGGTTAACAATAGGGAAAACTCGGTGGCAGGGGGCGAGGATAGGATATTCATTTGTATTAAACGCCCCCAAGGTTCAAAATGGTATCTTTATATTATTCATTCAACAAATATGTAAACCCCACTCAATCTACAGGACCCCAAGGGAGAAACAAGAACCAAGCAAGAACATAAGGACTGGAAAGGAGGATGAGTTTTCTTTTTTTCTTTTTTTTCTGAGATGGAGTCTTGCTCTGTCACCTGGGCTAGAACGCAGTGGTGTGATCTCGGCTCACTGCAACCTCCACCCCCCGGGGTTCAATCCATTCTCCTGCCTCAGTCTCCCGAGTAGCTGGGACTACAGGTGTCCACCACCATACCCAGCTAATTTTGTATTTTCAGTAGAGACAGGGTTTCACCATGTTGGCCAGACTGGTCTCAAATTCCCAACCTCAGGTGATCCTCCGGCCTCGACCTGCCAAAATGCTGGTATTACAGGCATGCGCCACCACGCCCGCCGAGGAGGAGTTTTCTAATAATGTTATCTATCCCTGAAAAGGATGGCTTCTCCACTATGGGAAGAGCTCAAACAGATGTCAGAACACTTTGCCTTGAAGACCACACTCTAGCATTCAAAAAAGGAGGCTGCAGAAGACCCTGGGCATTCTAGTCCCCACCTTCTCATTGAGTCTTTGAAAGGTCTCCAAGTCTGAGCCCAACCACCATGGGTTGGCCCAGGTCACACTCTCCCTTCCTGTCTCTGACAAAAGCTGTGGCTGGCAGAAGTGAGCTGCTCAAATATTTTACTGTTGACCCAACCACACATCACCACAGGTCATCACTGTCAGTCATTCAGCAAACTCTCGCTCAGTATGGCAGAAGGTCACAGAGTTCAGAACACAAGCAAGCTTGGAGAGGTCACATCTCAGCTGTGCCACCTCTAATGGTGTGACCATGACCACAGCCCTTTACCTCTCTCAGCCTGTTTCTTCATTCAAAAACTGGACTAATGATAGCACCTACCTCAGGGTTGGTGTAAGTGCTCATTAAAAGATGACTATGAGTATTATCATTATACTCATGCAGCAGGCACTGTGCTGGATGCAAGCAGGGCGCAAAGCTGAACAAATCCAACTCCGGCGGCCTCTTGGAGGGAAGTCAGGGGTTGAGCAATTAACGACAATGCAGGAGATAAGTACTATTGGGGTGTCTATCAGGCCAGAACACCACGCCAGGCCTCCAGCCCCAAATCTCAAGACTTCAAGGAAAGAACTGGAGGGGCTCCTCCCACCCTGACTTTAGCTGGAGCTGGCAATCTGCCAAAGAGGACCTAGCGTTGGAAATCAGTGTGCCTTGATTACAAAAAAACTCTTTCTGACTTTGTAAAGATGCAACAAAAAGACAGACTTCCCCCAAATCCTCAGGGCAGGCCCCCAATTAGCCCTCATCTTCCCCTTGACAGCCTTGCCCTGTCACCCCGCCAGCCTTTACCTCCTGCCATATCTCTTTCTTGCAGGTACCCCAAGTGCTGTTCTTCACCTGATGCCCACTGCCCCATGGCTGCACCAAGGAGGCCTCAGTTCCCCCAGTGATGACTGTCCCCAGCTTGGCCAGCAGGCAAGGACACGATGTGTCAGAGCCAGGCTGTTTAGAGACTAACGCTGAGCGCAGCTAGACCAATCCCTAAGTGGCAGAGGACCAAGCTGCTGGACCAGGAGCTCAGCCAGCTGCCCAGGGCACCAGGAGGAAGTCAGGCGGAAGCACCCACTGCTGGGGAGCCCAAAGGAATGAGCCAGGGCCGGGAGGGCTGGCTCGGAGTCACAGCCATTTTTGTTGCATGCCTACTCTGCACCGGGCACTGTGCAAATGATCACACTCAGTATCTCTTTGGATCCTCATGGAAAAAGGGACTGTCTTTTTCCTCCATTATTTAGATAAGCAAATTGAGACCTGCAGCATGGAGGAGCTTCCACAGGTCCCACAGCTGGCGGGTGGCAGAGCTTGATTCCCCATTCAAGCCCATACATAAGCCACTCCCCTGGTCTGTATCATCTGCTCCTCTAGAGCCTCCTGGGCTGTAAGCTGTGCATGGGCTCTTGGGACATTGAGCTGAACAAGACACCATCCCTGTCCTGGAGTAGTTCACAGTTAAGGGTGGACAGAGAGCAGAGGCCATTTGCAAGAAACCTGATTGATTGTCCCTGCTGGAAGGACACTCATGGCTCTGACACAGCATGCAAGCAACAGCTGACTGTGCCCTGGTCCTGGGGGACTTCCCTGAGGTAGTATCCTGGAGCGGGACCTTGCAGGGTTTTCTCAAGGGACTGCCCTTCCAGCAAGGGGAAGCTTAGGAGCAAGGGCTGCCTGGTTCTGTTCTAATTTCTGACCCCAAGTCAGAGAACTGAGTCTTATTCCTTGGGCCTTGCAAAGGGCCTGCTTTCAACACCCTGGGCAGCGGCCT